TGATTTCACAGAAAGTCCTCTTAGATACCATAGAATGGGTTGGGTTGGGAGGGACCTTAAAGATCAACTCCCTAATCCCACTCTGCCATGGGCAGGGACACCTCCCACTACACCAGGTAGCACAGAGCCCCATCCAACCTGATCTTCCATGCATCCAGTGATGGGGCATCCACAGCTTCTCTGGATGACCTGAGCCAGTGTGTCACCACCCTCAGAGTGAAAAATGTCCTAATTTCTAATCTAAATCTCCTCTTTTCCATTTTGAAGCCATCACCCCTTCTTCTATCACTACAAACCCTTCTAAAAAGTCCTTCCCCAGCTTTCTTGTAGGCTCCCTTCAGATACCTGAAAGCTCCAAGAAGGTCTCCATGGAGCCTTCTCCTCTCCAGGCTGGACAACCCCAACCCTCTCAGCCTGGCCTCCCAGCAGCATTGCTCCAGCCCTCAGATCATCTCTGTGGCCTCCTCTGGCCCCACTCCAACAGGTCCCTGTGCTGAAGTCTCCAGAGCTGGATTCAGTCCTCCAGATGGGACCTCACCAAAGTAGGAGAGAATCCCCTCCTTCCACCTGCTGCCCACACTGGATTAATGCTGGAGAAACACTTCAAAGCCAGAGAAACACCAAACTCCTTGGCTCTGCAGGTGCAAGTCCTTCCAAACACCTTGATTGCCCCAAGGGCTACACCCTCCAGGGCAGAAACACCTGAGCCCTTTGCCAGCCCTTCAGCAGAGCCCACCTCTACCTGCTATAAGACACCCAAGAGGGAAGGAGGTGGGGTGGGCTCTTGGTGGCCAGCAGCTCAAGTGCTTCAGAGCCATGGTGAGTAGATGTGGGGATTGGATTTGCTCTCTGGTAGCCCTGGCTGGTCCTTCCCATCTCTGCAGGAGGTGGATTTTCCTTCCAGCTGAGGGAAGGTCTTTGGTTGGGGGTATCCTTGGGGTGAAAGCTGTTGTGGGTTCTGGAGGAGCCATGGCTCTGTTACAAGCTCTGGCTTTTGACCCCTGGAGAAGGGGCTCCTAAGGGTGTAGACCTTGTGTTTGGGGGCTGTTCCCCAGGGCTGGGATGGTCTTACAAGCCTGTTGTTTAGCTCTTCCTGGCCTGGGGAGCACTACCCTGCTGAGATGCCTCCAGACCTGCCTCTTCATCTGCATGAAGGTACTTTGAAGGTCTTGCTGGTGGCATCTGATAGAAGACTGAGCTAGGTGGCCCTTGTGGGGCTGAGGCAGGCCTGGAGCAGGGGGTGAAGTTCTCCCCTTAGGGGGACTGGCTCAGGTTCTCTCTTCTGGCTCTGCTGTGGGGGTGGTTAAGGTTGTCCTGGGGCTGCTGGTGTAGGAAGAGAACTGAGGTGGTGGGAGAAGGCTGATACGTTAGATGTCACCCCTCAGGGTAGGGTCTTCTGCTCTGGTGCAGGATGTTGCTGCCCTGCTGCTGTGCTTGGTAGGGGTCCTGCTCTATCAGGCTTCCTGCAAGACAATCTGAGGGTTTCTCTGATGGGTCTCCAGCTCAGCATCCTGCCCAGGCACAGCTAAAAGCAGATGGTGAGGGCAAGCTGAGCCTTGACTAATCCCATCTGAGGCTTTACTCTCTTGTAGCTCAGGGCCTCCTAAAGTGGATGTGGGTTTTTTCCCCCTAGTAAGCCTCAGTAGAAGTCTCCAGTCTAGTCTCTGTGAAACCAAAAGCCTGGTTCTCACAGCTTCCTGTGTCAAGGAGGTCACAGCTCAACCACATTCTCTGCACAGGGACTCTTCCCTTCAGCTCCAGCCAGGAGCAGTTGCTTCATGGGGCAGCTGCTAGTCTTGTATGGAGAAAACAGCCCCATCCCATCCTTGCTGAGTTCCTTTCTAGCTGTCTCCAGCCAGCTGATCCAGCACTGTTGTGTCTAGTCTAAATGGAGATGAAAACCTGCTCAGACAATCATCTCCTGAAGCCAGACAGCACAGGCTTCTCCTGCAGGAGATGGGCAGAGGTCCTCTGCTGCTGCCCATCAGGGGAGGGAGAAGGGGAAGTGTTTCCACTGCTGTCTAAGGCTTGCTGGCCTCAATTATTCCACCCTCCCCAGCTCAGAGCACCAGGTGAAGCTCCTGGGAAGGTTCTCTGTGCCCTGTCTTCTGCCCCAAGGCAAGGTCAGCAGAGCCAAGAGAAGAAACCATGAGTTTCTTTTCTGCTATGGAGTGAAAACGTCCTGGCTGCCACCAAGCTGGGCTAATGTTCCTCTTGTCTGTAGGCTGTTGGCCATGTGGTCTAGAAAGACATCTAGAAGTGCCAGTTTTAGTCTAATTCCTCAGTGCACATCCCTAACCTCCTCTTCTCTCCCATCCCCACGTAGAGGGAGTGTATTTCTGTCCACATTGGCCAGGCTGGAGTCCAGATGGGCAACTCCTGTTGGGAACTGTATTGCCTAGAGCATGGAATCGAGCCAGATGGCATCATCTCCTCCAGTGCATCCTCGGGGCAAACAGACTCTTCATTTGGGACCTTCTTCAGTGAATCGGGGTCAGGGAAGTACGTCCCCAGAGCAATATTTATTGACCTGGAGCCCAGTGTCATTGGTAAGTTGTGGAAGGTCTCCAAAACCTCTTGTGGGTGGGGAGGGAAGACCTTCTATGACCTGAAGCATAGTGCTGACCACACAAACTCCTGGTGTGGCTGCCAGCTTCCACGTGAAACTGCATCTAACTTAGTGCAAGTAACTTGGTAGACAGTGGATCTGGTGCCAGTGATGCTCACGAGACCCCAATTTCCTCCAGATGGGATCAGGACGGGGACCTACCGCACCCTCTTCCACCCAGAGCAGCTCATCAGTGGCAAAGAAGATGCTGCCAACAACTATGCTCGAGGCCACTACACCATTGGGAAGGAGATCATTGACCCTGTCGTTGACAGGGCCCGGAAAATGGTAACGACCCCGGGGGCAGGGGGTCTTCTGCACCACCACTCTGGTTGCTCTTTGCCCTGGCCATCAAGAGATGCAATGGCAGGGAGGAGGACAAGCAGATCTTGGTCAACTTGAGCGTGTCACAATGACCTGGACCACCACTATGGGATGCATGGGGGTGTGTCTTGTTGGTTGGGACTTAAGGGGAAAACAAGAAACTAAAGATGCCTCCAGCTTAAGCAAGAAAACCAGGAGAAGCTGTGATTTAACTGGCCAGACAAGATGGCTTTGTTCTGGTGGGTGATCCAGCATCTCATCCCAACCAATGTCCCAGCTCAGCTTCAGGCTAGGGTCTCCCCTCAGACCTCCCCTCCCTTGTGTGGTGGCCTCTGGAGCGTAAGGTTTCATTGTCACAGCCCCTCTGAAGTGCTGTGATAACACTAAGATCCTTTGGGTTTGGGTGGAACCTCTTAGTGGCCTTCAGAGTTCTCTTGATCTTCTTTACTGATAGTAGCATGAGTTTTTATCTGACCTGAAATGCCAATCGCCCAGCCTGACTAGAGGAGGAGATGATTTAAAAGCAGTGTCCAAGAGGTCTCACCTGTTAGAAGTGGAAGGTGGTTTTAAGAAGTAAAAATAAGGCCTCAGACTTGATGGTTGAACTTGGTTCAACTTGTTGAACTTGGTTGAAGTACTTGGCCTTAATTTAAGTCCAAAGACACCAGCAGAGCTGTTCTAACTTGGTCTTTTCTGCTCTCTTCCTTGGTGCTGCAGACTGAGCAGTGCAGTGGCCTCCAAGGGTTCCTGGTCTTCCACAGCTTTGGGGGAGGCACGGGCTCCGGGTTCACCTCCCTCCTCATGGAGCGGCTCTCCGTGGAGTACAGCAAGAAGTCCAAGCTGGAGTTCTCCGTCTACCCGGCCCCCCAGGGTGACCCCTCCACCTCGATCCTCACCACCCACACCACGCTGGAGCACTCGGATTGCTCCTTCATGGTGGACAACGAGGCCATCTACGACATCTGCAATCGCAACCTGGACATCGAGCGTCCCACCTACACCAACCTCAACAGGCTCATCGGGCAGATCGTCTCCTCCATCACGGCCTCCTTGAGATTTGATGGAGCTCTCAACGTCGACCTCACCGAATTCCAAACCAACCTGGTGCCCTACCCCCGCATC